GCGGGGTGTCTCGGTGCAGCGGCGGGGACCCCGGGGCCCGGAGGCGGCGCAGCCCGGGGCCTCCGGGAGGAGCGCGGGCGGCCCGGCGGCGGCGCGATGCCGCTCGCCCAGCTCAAGGAGCCCTGGCCGCTCATGGAGCTGGTGCCGCTGGACCCGGAGGTGAGTGAGAGGGGCGGGGGACCGGCGGCGGCGGCCGGCCAGCCAGCCCGGATCCGCACAGGGGCGGGGCGGGCCGCGGTGCCTCTGCAGCCCCGCCGGGACGCGGGTGCCCTCCGGTCGCTAGCTCACTGTCCGGCTCCACCCCCCTGTGCTCCGGGTGTGCGGGTGCAGGGGGACGGTTCTGCTGGGCGCTCAGTACCTCCCTACCGTAGCCAGGAGAGGAACCCCGCGGGGTGGTGAGGTCTGACACCCCAAGCGCCCCTAGGACCCGTCCCGCTTATCATCTTTTGGTTGCGGTGGGAGTTGTCCCAGTCAGTGCAGAAGGGAAAGGCTTGGGTCAGATGGCTGGGGTTCTACTAGAGACAAGGATCATGGGAATCCGGTTTCTCATCGTTCCCTCTCGCCAAGAGCTCTCTTGGATCCTCCGCTTCTGATCTTTGGGAGACAGCCCTTCTGGACCCCTGGCAGTTATGGAATGTGGGGTGATTCCACACCTGGAGTGGACCTGGTTTCCTTTGCTCCACAGCTAGTGATATTGGGTGTTCCCACTTCAGGTTATGCTGAAGAGTGGGGATGGCCCCTAGACCTTGTGAAAACTGTCTCTGGAGAAGAGACTGCCTCGTCTTTCTGCTGGGCCCTTGGGCAGTATGGCTTCTGCCGTTCGGTCTCTCCCAGAAGCAGCTCCTGTCCTTTGAGGGCTTTCTGGTCCAACCCTGAGCCTGCAGGAGGCCACTTTTGTGGTGTCCTGTGACCCTGGGATCAAGGTCAAGTCCTCAATCAGCAAGTTTAAAACTTTCCCCTACTCTGATGCTGGAAAAGAGGCAGGTGAAAGTCTGCGCTGGGACTGGAGCTCTTGGTGGGGGTACGGAAGAGAGAAGGAGACCCCACTTGATCCCAGAACCCACATGATTTTTCTCCTGGCTTGAACCCTTACCTACGTCTAAGACCTCAGGGCAATCATCCTGTGCCCTGCCTCTCAGGACCACAGCTAGAGAGGGATCCACAGTGAAGTCCCCAGGTTTTCAGACACCCCGGAGCATGCTACCCCTTTAAAGGGGTGGCCTCCCCTGGCTATTGGAAGGTGGGCGCGGCTGGATTAGGTAACCAACCTGAAGGCGCAATTTGGAGTAAATTGTTCTGGGATCCTTGCCATGGGTTTTTTTTTTTTTTTTTTTTTTACAGGCCCTACACAGCGGCCCAGAGGTTCTCTGGCTGACTCACCTTCTAGGTGAGGGGCATTGCCCTATGCAGCCCCTTGTTGCCCCTCCACCCCGCCCCCACCTCAGGACTGGGGCACGAGGCCTGAGGGGAGGCCGAGAGGTGTGTTCCTTTGCCTGGGCACGCCCCTGCCACCTGGGCCTCCAGAGGAAGGTAGAGTGGAGCTAGCTGTGGTTGGGGAGGGACTTCGCCCAGAGATTCACAGTGTTCCACTGGCAGGGAGGGTAGAGAGCTAGGATCTCTGGCCTCCTCCAGGGCAGCACTTCCTGCTTCCCTTTGGGAAATCCTGAGGCCAGGGCCAGCTTCATGGGGGCCAGGTTAAACCGGAAACACCTTAGTTTGAATACTGTTCCACCTGAATTGGGGGGGAGGGGAGAAGAGACTTGTCAAATTTCCTGGGATGGGGAGAGGATTTTTTTTTTTTTCATTGAGCTTTACTTCAGAAATGCTGTGTAGCCCTTAGTCCATCTTCAGGCTGTCTAGGCCTCTCTTTCCAGTGCCGCAAATGAGCTTTAAGCTCTGCTTCCTGGGCCCAACAAGGTGCAAAGCCCTGGGCACTGCTGCCCTTGTCCCCACCCCCAAGCCACGGAGGTGCCAGTGGACTGGCTGGTATTGTTTGAGTAACAGGAGCCATGGGGCAGTGAGGGTGTGCATTCTTGCTTGAGAACAGAGCCCTGCTGTTCTTTGTGCAGGTGACATGTAAGTGATACAAGTGCCCGGCCCGCAGGTACTGGCGCCATCGTGGGCAGCTTCGGGCCAGGAAGGAGGCGGGTAAGGGGGCTGCCAGGGGCATTTGGCAGATGAGGTCTGGCATCTGAATTGCCCTGCCTTCCCATCGCTGTCAACCAAAAATGGGCTGCTGGGAGGCAGGGCCCAAGAGGAATAAACCAGCTGGAAATACGGGCTTTTCTTGGTTTTGCTGAAAATAACAGAGGCCCTGTCTCGCCAGGGCTTCACGGCCTACTGTCCATCGACATTACTTTACCTTGGTTTTCCTATCTTCTTGAGATAGAAATTATGACCTCCGTCTTCAGATGGGACAGCTGAACATGAGTATCTGGGCCAGGATTAGAACTCAGTGCTGCTGCCAGTGCTGTTTACAACCAAGCAAGGGAGACTTGATGATGCGCATGGGCTGGGTTTAAGCTGGTGCAGGTGGCAGGTACTCCAAGAGCAGCTCCGGATGTTGGCACACACTTCTCGATCCTCAGGGCCCTTGTCCAGCCTTGGCTGAGGGCTAATAGTGGCCTGGCACTTGGCCCTCAGGCTCTAGCAGTGCACAATGCTGCCAATGCTGGGCTCAAAACCCAGTTCCTGGGGCTGCTTCCTGCCTGCGGGGCACGTGCTATCTTTCTCCATCTGTTCTGCCCGCAGCTTCTCCAGAAACTGCTCTGGACCCTTAGGTGGAAAGACACATGCCTGTCGGGACTCTGGCTGCCGGAAGGGGTTCAGTGCTCTAGGGTTCTGAGCAGGTGTCCATCTTCATGAGCAGAGCCCCTGAGGAAGAGAGGAGAACGGGGTACTCCAAGAGGTCAGAGGACCTTCTCTGTCCCAGGCTTTTTGCCCTGGTCCCAGGGTCTGGTTTGCCTGTCTTTTTTTTTCTCCTTCCTTCCCTTCCCTTCCTTTTTCTTCCTTTCCTTTCCCCATCCATCCATCCATCCATCCATCCATCCATCCATCCATCCAGAGCCTTGTTTGTGCTCGGCAGGTATCCACCACTGAGCTAAACCTGCCCTTAGGCCTTTTAAAATTTATTATTAAAGATTGACTTAGTGTACGTGTCTCAGCAGGGGCCAGAAGAGGGCATTGGATCTCCTGAAGCTGGAGTTACAGGCAGTTGTGAGTTGCTTGCCGTGGGTACTGGGATTTGAACTCATGTCTGCTGGAAGAACAACAGGGGCTCTTAACCGTTGAGCCATCTCTCCAGCCCACCTTAGGCTTTTTAGACAAGGACTTGGCTCAGCTTCCGAAGTCATAGATGGCGACTGCTGACAAGGTAGATGTACTGTCACGATACAAAGAAAACAGAGGCTCTGAAAAGTGATATTGCAGATGCAGGTCAGATTAAGAGCCAAGACAAGGGCCTATGCCTTTGTGGCCACACAGCTGTGTTCTTCCACTGCCCCACATGTCATACCAAAAGGACCATCCTGTCTCTGCCCCTTCAGTCCTTTGTTGAGGATGGATCACTTCTCTAGAGGCCTGGGTATCGGCTCTTAGAGAAATGGGTCCATGAAGATGGTACCTAGACGAGGATCCTAGCCAGACAAGGCTTGGTTGGAGGTCCCCTGAATTATGCTCGAGAAACTTGATACCTCTTGCTATACCTTCTCTCTTTAAGTGGGGATTTGGGCTTGCAGTCACATGACTTCTAGTTATGGTCCCATGGCTGCCACCCGCACAGTAAGCCCTTCAAGCTGGGCCTCAGCTGAAAAGCAGGGCGACAAGACCCTGCACTGGCTTGACAAGACCCTGCACTGGCTTCCTAGCTGTCTTTGCTGGGTTGACCTTTCACCCTTCGTGTGACGAACTGTTTGTCAGACCCTCAGTACTAAGACGCTGATGAGGAGCACAGTCACGCCCCCTCCTGGGTTAACCTGTGTGCTCAGTGCTGGGCGGGCGGAGGGAAGAGGGAAGATTTAGAGGCTGTGTGGGCAGAGGAGGTGGAGTCTGAATTCAGCCCCAGGAGAAGAGCAGGAAGGGTTGTCTCGGAAGGGCGAGCCACCATGCAAATGCTCAGTCACATAAGCAGGTCTGTTCAGGGTCTCAGGTCATTCAGCGGAGGCTCCAAAGAGGGCCCGATAGCGCTTGCTTCGTCAGGACAAGCACTAAAACCGGAATGGCCCACAGATGATCAGCGTGGTCTCTGGGCAAGGATGGCACGCAAATTCACGAAGCGGGCTATCTTTAATCTTCCTTTTAGTAGTTACTTTGGCGTGTGCTTGTACATGATGGGCATCTGTGGGCACTCGGGCATCTGTGGGCACTCGTGCACCTGCACATACGTGGGGAGTCACTTCTCTCCCTCCACCCTTTCATGCATTCCAGGGATCGAACTCCGGTCTTCAGGCATGGTGGCAAGCACCTTAAACTGGTGCGCCATCTCGCCAGTCTATCAGCCCAGGTGCTTAAAGCTTGAGAGGGAAGGTTATCGTAGCTGCCCTGAATTGCCTGAAGGTGGATGAAAATGTCACAATTCGTCATTTTTGTCATGCGTGCCCTTTAGGTGGTGGACATGGTGTGGGTTTTCGTGGCTGGCCACTTGGACAGACTTGCTTGCGGTAAATGTTGTCTGATTTACTTCCTTAGTAGGCCGGAAGACAACAAATTATGAAAAAGACGGGAGCTGGGTGGGCGAGGCAGTAATGGTGATAGCCACAGTGGCTGCTGCTTGTGGGCCACTCATGTGCTGGGTGTGTGGACTTGCGGGCTTGGTTTTGTTGGTTTTAGCAGCTCCCTATAAAATCTATTATTTGAATTTCCATTTTACAGGCGAGGAGACTGGGCCGTGAGAAGTAAAATGGCCTCCTCAGGGTCACACAAAGGGTAGAAGCCAGAATTTGAACCCACATTTTTTAACCCTGGTGCTGGGTAGTTGGAGATGGTGGCCTGGGAGCCGGGACGTGAGTCTAGCTTAGTGTCAGTCACAGAGGAGGTGAGGTTTTCAGTGGGTGGTGACTGTTGACTGATGAGGAAGGTGAAGGTTTGGCGTACCTGGAATGGGGGCAGGCCGGGTCTGGTGGGCAGGCTGTGTCTGAGGGACAGTTCCGCTGTGATCTCTAGTCTGTGGGGTGCACTGGACTCAGCAAATGCATCTGCCTTGCCTAGCCCCGCCCTTAGGCCCTGACCAACCTGCCCCTTCTCCTCACAGTGTGTGTGTATATACCTGTATAACACTCGGTTCTTGGGGGGGGGGTTAGAGGCATTAAGGGGGTTCAGGGCAGGAAGGGTGTCCCAGCAGGCAGGAGGCAGCCACTCCTGGAGCAAGGGGTTTTACATAACAGGTAGAATACAGCTGTGCCTGCTGCTGCCAAGTCAGGCCAAAGCCGCCCTGTGGACCTGACTTGTGGCTCCAAAGTCCCCGCCTTTGGGAGCCTCCTGTCTGTCTCACTGTACTCACTCCATGCCAGGAGGGGTGGGGACTGCTTCCTCATAGCGCATAGCACACAGGAATAGAGAAGCCAGCTGCGGCGCAGCCGGGGTGTGTAGTTTCCATCTGGGGTACGGTCAGGAAGAGGCAGGAGAGCCCAGAGGTGCATCTTGCACCTGCCTATCCCTGCAGGTAGCTCCCTGGCCAAGGTGCGGGCCACTCTGCAGCAGGATCAGTGCCTGTAATTGGAGGCCACCTATCAGACGGCTGCTTCTCAGGTGTGCGAGGATTCCGTCATTAGTCCCCTCTGAACCCTGGTGTCCTCACCCTGTAGAGCCGGGGCCTGACTCCCAGGGCTGTCAGAAAGGTTAAATGGGGCCCCAGGTGTGAGGCAGGGAGGTCAGCCTTGGCACGCGGCAGAGCGGTGGTTGGTCCAGGAACTTGTGTGTGCTCCTGGGAAGGGCGAGTCTGTGTGGCCAGTGCTATAGTGCAAAGGTGTGGCCGTCCAGCCATTCTCGAAGCAGGGCAGGGCCAGGGAAGCCACCAGGAGGGACACCTGCCCCAACTTTGCCTTCCTCCATCCTTGTAGCAATTTTGGGAAGTTAGGGGACCTATCCCAGTGCTCCAGATTGGGAAACTGAGGCCTGTCACGCTTAGTTGATTTGCAGAAGGTCGTACGACCCGTTGTGGCAGGGCCTGGCTGTGTGTGCCCCTTCCCTCTCCCTGGGAAGAGGTAATCTCTGAACTGAGACTTTGAGGATGATGGGGTGTTTGGTAGGCAGGGGGAGGGGGGCATTCTGAGTCCTGGGGATACTCTGCCTGGGTTGGGAGGGGCTGTTGCCAGAGGACTTGATTCTTTCACAGTGAAGCCAAAGTAGAGGGGAAGCTGTGTAGAACTGACTGGTCTCTACGGCCTCCCTGGCTGTTGGGAGCAGCCAAGGATGGCGTGTCCCAGGATGCATTTTTCTCCGTGCGGGTAAACTGTGACGTTGCCCCTCATTTTCTTTCTCTTTTCCAGAATGGACAGGCCTCGGGGGAAGAAGCTGGACTTCAGCCATCCAAGGTGAGGCCTAGGTTCTGCGAGTGAAGTGGTGGCCATAGAGAAGAGAGGATTGCTCAGCGCCACCAGGCCCGGCCACAAAGGAAGGCCGGGCCTCTCCTTCCTTTGTATAGCTTGGCTCTCTTCCTCTCATTCTGTCTCTATGCTCGGGACAAAGCCCACTGGTTTCAACTCTCCTATCTCAAAGGTGAGGGAGGGTATTGTGGCCCAGAGAGGGCCAAGAACAGGTACAGGAATTCTGGTTGTCTGTGACCCAGGCCACCAACACTTCCTGGGTTCACATACTGGTAGAGTTTGGGCCTAAGGAATGAATGGAGGGGTCAGTGTAGTGTGCTGATCTTGGTGGACCGGGTGCAACAAGAGCTTGGGAGCATTTGGGCCTGCCCCTGGTGGCTTTTCTATCCTCAGAGTGCCTCGTGCCTCCCAGGTGGTTTCTTGGGACTCCCAGCTCCCAAAATGAGGTGTAGTCATTTGTCCCAACTGTCTCCACTCCCCCAGAATACTTTCTGATACCCTGCCAGTCCGTTACCCATTATTATTATTGTTGTTGTTATTTTATTTTTATTTTATTTTATTTTTGTGTTTTGAGATAGGGTTTCTCTGTGTAGCCTTAGCTGTCCTGGAACTCTCTGTAGGCCAGGCTGGCCTCAAACTCACAGAGGTCCACTTGCCTCTGCCTCCCGAGTACTGGGATTAAAGGCGTGTACCACCACCACCCTGCAATTTATATCTATTTTTTTGGACAGGGTCTTGGCATGTAATTCTGGCTGGCCTGGAACTCATTATTTAGACCAGGCTGGCCTCATTCTCAGAGATCCTTTAGCCTTGGCCTCCCAAATGCTGGGATTAAAGGTGTACTCCGCCATGCCCAGCCGAGGCGAGGATTACACTTTTATTTAATAATTTTGTGTGTGTTCATGTGTGTGTGTGTGTGTGTGTGTGTGTGTGTGTGTGTGTACATGTCCCTAGGCATGTGTGGAGGCCCAAGGACAGCTTGGCGAGGTCCGTTCTCTCCTGTCACGCCGATGCCTTGGTTCAAACTCGGTTCGTCAAGCGTGACAGCAACCTCCTTTCCCTGCCGAGCCATCTCACCAGTCTCCCTTGCTGGTTTCATGCGTAGCCAAAAGCTCCCGCACGACCAGTTGGGTACCTTGACCTCTGTGAGCCCGGGCTTTCTCGGCTCTGAAGTAGGAAGAACCACACCTAAGTCACAGAGATGGTGGTTGTTGCCTGCTTTGGAGGCCCTCTGGGCAGGGTCTCTGCAAACCTGGATGCCCGGCACCCACCCCACCCTACCCAGTAACTCTCATGTTTCCCTCCTCATCTGTAGGTTGGGGAATAAGGCCTTTCTCACAGGAGAGAAAGACAGACAGGGTAGTAACTGCCTGGCACCCCGTGGGACTGCTCTGGTGTGCTACTCAGTTCTGCTTCCTGCCCAGAGCCCCACCTTCTAGGCCTGGGTCAGCCAAGCTGTAAGGACGACCTTTGATTTGGAGTCAGGCTTGGTCCTGGTGTTTACATTGACCTAGCTTCCTAAGATAAGGTAGCTGAGCTGGGTGTGGTGGGGCTATGTGGGGAGAATAGCAGGCCCCTACCCCATCCCACTGTTGGTTACTATAGCAACAGAGCCGTAGGGGCCAGTAAGCCTTAGAGCTTGGACCTTCCTTATCTCTGAGCATGTCTGGGGATTCATCCCACAAAAGAGCTGCCCCTAGGTTCCTAGTAATAAAACAGAGTCCCCTGGGAGGTAGTGGCGCACGCCTTTAATCCCAGAGCTTGGGAAGCAGAGGCAGGCAGATCTCAGTGGGTTCGAGGCCAGCCTGGTCTAAAGAGTGAGTTCCAGAACAGCCAGGGTTACCCAGAGACAACCCCCCCCCCTAAAAAAAGAGGGAGCCATGGAAATCCAAGCATTCATATCTTATGTTTGAAGGACCACGGGGTCACAGTAGAGGTTTTGGGGAACTAGGAGTGAGCTCAGCTTGAAATCTCAAGCCAAAGGTGCCAGGTTGGTGGTGCAGGCTAGAAGCAGAGTCAGGAGAATTAGGAATTCAGTGTCATCCTCTGGTACACAAGTGGCTTTTAGACTAGCCTGGGCTACGTGAGACTCTGTCTCAAAACCAAACCAAAAGAGAGGCAGATTGGGGGAGGGAGCTGGTCCAGGCAGCCATTGTTCATTCCACAGCCTAAGGCTGCACTAAGGTGGAGGGTCCTTCGAGAAGAAGGGGGTCAGTGCAGGAGATGATGAGCCTTGGGGCTTTCAGGTGCCACATGGTGGAAAAAGCTGAACCGTGCCTGCCTGGCATCAAGCTAGAAGCTCTGTGCTCAGTTTATATATACATATAGATTTAGATTTATTTTCATTTTATGTGTACGTGTGTCTTGCCTTCATGTATGCCTGAGGAGGCCAGAAGAGAGTTGTCTGATCCTCTGGAACGGAAATTAGAGATGATTGTTAGTAGCCATGTAGGTGCTGAGAATCGAACCTGGGCCACTCAGGAAAAGCAAGTCCATGCTCTTAACCAAGGAGCCATCTCTCCTGCCCCGAGGACAGCTTTCAGAGGTAGAACAGCATTTTCCAGATGAGAAAACCGAAGCCTCATGTCACACAGCGATGGGAGGCAAGCCTCGTTTGATGAGAGCCACGCTCCTCCCTGGCTGGCGAATCCCGAGTGCCGAAAAGGAAGGGCAATGGGTACCCACCACCCCAGGTGCCAGTCCTGAGGGCAAACTCCTCCATGACTGTGGCCGCTTCTGGGCGTGG